CAAAATCAATTCAAAACCAAATGCTAGTAGACCTGTTGATACTACTCGATCTAAGCCTAAAGAACAAAGAACCATGGGCAATTTAAATGTTAAACCAAACGGTCACCCGGTTTTGAGTTCGCGATTCTTGAGCAGAGTTTTTGTGATAACTTACCAGTAGACCTGTTGATACTACTCGCATCTAAGCCTAAAGAACAAAGAACCATGGGCAATTTAAATGTTAAACCAATTTGGTCACCCGGTTTTGAGTTCGCGATTCTTGAGCAGAGTTTTTGTGATAACTATATCGAGCCACCTTAAGATAGTAAGTTTAAGCGTATCATGATTATTGGGCTGAATTTGTTTACTAGTAGACCTGTTGATACTACTCGCGCTAAACCTAAAGAAGAAAGAACCATGGGCAAAATCAATTCAAAACCAAATGCTAGTAGACCTGTTGATACTACTCGATCTAAGCCTAAAGAACAAAGAACCATGGGCAATTTAAATGTTAAACCAATGGTCACCCGGTTTTGAGTTCGCGATTCTTGAGCAGAGTTTTTGTGATAACTATATCGAGCCACCTTAAGATAGTAAGTTTAAGCGTATCATGATTATTGGGCTGAATTTGTTTTAAATCAACAGCACTGGAACTATCGTTTTGTTAAACCCTTCATATACCATATTCTTTTGTTTTCCTTGAATTCGCTGTTTAATAACCTCATGATCAATATTATTAAAAATTAAAATTAAAATAAAATTAAAATAAAATTAATAACCTCATGATCATTACCGCAGAGTGAAAACTGTGTTGCAAGTAATTGTCGGGTAAGATGCCCGCGATCTTTATGTTGAATAAAACTCCAATAGCCTTTAACCAATATATAATTTTACGTTTCATACTTTCATTGCAATTTTATACAATGTTATGGTATAATGTGTCTTCTTAAAATTGCTTTGAGACAGTGTATTAAATTTCTGAAGTGAGAGACTCGTCATGCTTTTACAAGAAGGGTATATGTAGAACATGATTATGTTGCCTCCTGTCTGGTCAACGGCGTGAATCCAAATGATGTCATAATGTATAATCCACGTAATGACATACATTTGAGATTATACACACTGCTCATGCGTGTTCATATAAAATTCAAGTAAATTTGTAAAATTTTACGAGCAAGGGTTCGGAAAAGGTTCTTAATCGCTTTTAACAATTTATTCAAAGTTTTGGACCCTGCTATTACTGTGTAGCGTTCCAATTCAACCCCCACCCTCTGCTCGCTAACATTTTTGGGAAAAATTAAAAATTTGCCCCAGGTCCTCGAATTTTTATGAGTGGCCCTGTTCAAAGCTGAATAAAAACATAAAACTTACACGGCGTCAATTACTAGCCAGATTTTCTCAAGTTTACTTTGACACGGCAGTCCAAATAATCGCTCAAGCTGTAATTCAGAAAGGTCATTTTCCGTTGGCGATCTCGCAAGCCAGACTCTCTACTTTGGCTTCCCTCACAAACACTCTCTGCTGGAGTGTGTTTGGAAGGGAAGTGGAAGTAGAGACTCTGGCTTGCGAGGTTGCATTTTCTAGTGAATTCAGACGTTGTCCATGGTGCCCTGATAATTTTGCCACCAAAAATGGCTGATTTCTTAGCGTGACGTAATATTCCCACGTGACTTGATATTAGCGTGACGTAATATACTTTTATATCGAAGGCTGTAAGATATTTAAGGTGAAAATTTTTATCACGGTTGATTTAAGATTTTGAAATCAATGATAGTTTTAAAATAACTGAATACTTACGTTATAACTACATGAATTGCTTTTTTATATATTGCTTTGTATGTTTCAATTAATTAAAAAGAGAAACTCCTTGCTTTATTGGTGATCAGCTATACCCCGCAGAAAGCTTAGAATGGTATAGTTGATAGTCATTAGAAACGAAGCAGAGGGGGGCGAGGGGGGGGGGGCGGAGTCTTGACAACCTGAAGTGTTCCTTGTATTTTAGTTGTTCATTGGTCACTGAATTTCACTCTGGTATAGCTTCTTACCACTGGTTGTCTTGTGCAGGTTTTTACCATATTACATAGTTTTGTCACAGTGTCAGTGAGGGGATAAAAACAGCAACATACATGCACATAGAAATTGCTCGTCCCACTCACACCTGTAGGGAGTCCAGCTTTAATATCAACGTCATCTAGACAGGCTTTTAAATGTCTGTTTCTAAATTTCTTGCATTTTCTAAATCTGAACTTCATTTGCATCAACGCTAACATTTTGAAATACAACTATTTCATAAAGTTAAAGACATTCGCGAACTGCGAAGAATGTTATTGTTTTCCTAAACTCAATGCAAAATAGTATGGAACCTTTATGGTATTTTCAGTCATTTTTCCGGATATATAGCAAACAATTTTACACCATTTTCAATTATCTTTTAGCAATATCAAAGACACAAAGCTCCACATGTAATTTTGCTGGGGCCGGTTGTACGAAGGTCGGATAGCGCTATCCACCGGATAGTGATTTTTTCAAGCTTTGTATATAGGACTAAACTACGGACATAGACGACACTAGAACTATAAAAAAAACCATTTAACTTATAAATACTAAACTTTAATACGAGTTATACCAATCAACGACCGATTTACAAAGCTTGAAAAAATCACTATCCAGTGGATAGCGCTATCCGGCCTTCGTACAACCAGCCACTGATCTTTAGTATTGGTTTAACCATGCATCCAAATAATCTCGTCTGTTAAATACGATTAAACTCAACATTAAACGCAGTCTCAGAGATGTACTTTGTTAAATATAAAGATGATAAACGCTGTTAAGGATTATTTAGCATCTACAGTAGGCTATATGGCGTATCAACACGTAGCTTCCTATCAAGCACCATCATACTGAAATTCTCACAATTGTTGGTTTATATTTTGCTCAAATTGCTGTATTAGTAGCATTTCAAACATCATGGGCGTACCGGGCGGGGGGGCTGGGGGGCGGAAGCCCCCCCCCCCAGTTTGTTGGGCAGTCGGGCAATATTCGCTGAATAGTCGGGCAATTTTGGTTAATTAAAAAAATAAATGGGACAAATTCTGTAAATTTTGTGGTCAATTTTGTGATGTTTCCATAATTTTTGTTAGGGTCCGGAAAATTTTGGTATGTCCGGAAAAATTTTTTGACCCCTAAAATGGTACACTGACCGAAATTTTTTTTGCGACGGGGGGGGGGAACTTTTCGATACTTGTCGGGCAAAATCCGGAAAAGTCGGGCACATTTCTTGCCGCCCCCCTAAATTTTTCCTTCCGGTACGCCCATGTCAAACATTACAGTTCAATCCTGTTTCACTTTGTAAAATACGACTGTTACATTGCAGGACTCTGGGAATCAGGACTGCAGTACTCATCATTATAACATTCCGCCATGGGCAATTCCAATGCTAAACCAAATACCAGTAGACCTGTTGATACTACTCGCGCTAAGCCTAAAGAACAAAGAACCATGGGCAATTCCAGTGCTAAACCAAATACTAGTAGACCTGTTGATACTACTCGCGATAAGCCTAAAGAACAAAGAACCATGGGCAATTCCAGTGCTAAACCAAATACTAGTAGACCTGTTGATACTACTCGCGATAAGCCTAAAGAACAAAGAACCATGGGCAATTTAAATGTTAAACCAGATCAATGCTAAACCAAATACCAGTAGACCTGTTGATACTACTCGCGCTAAGCCTAAAGAACAAAGAACCATGGGCAATTCCAGTGCTAAACCAAATACTAGTAGACCTGTTGATACTACTCGCGATAAGCCTAAAGAACAAAGAACCATGGGCAATTCCAGTGCTAAACCAAATACTAGTAGACCTGTTGATACTACTCGCGCTAAGCCTAAAGAACAAAGAACCATGGGCAATTTAAATGTTAAACCAAATACCAGTAGACCTGTTGATAATACTCGCGATAAGCCTAAAGAACAAAGAACCATGGGCAATTCCAGTGCTAAACCAAATACTAGTAGACCTGTTGATACTACTCGCGATAAGCCTAAAGAACAAAGAACCATGGGCAATTCCAGTGCTAAACCAAATACTAGTAGACCTGTTGATACTACT